GAGCGCGGGGAGGGGCTGGGCGCCCAGAGTCCGGTCCCTCGGACTCGGACATCTGGCTTCCCAGCCGGGCTTGGGGAGGCCTTGCCCTGGTTTTCCGTTCTGGTGTCCCGGCCTCTAAATAGGAGGTAGAAGGAAAGGGGGTTTCTGGAGGTAGGGGAGCCCCCTGGCGGGCAGTGTCTACAGAGGATAGGGAGGTTTGGGGGGCGTGAGCAGAACTTCCGGGCCCCGGGCCCAGGAGCTTTTGCTGTCTGGAGAGAAGTTGTGTCTGGCCTTCCTGGTGGGTGTGGAGGGAGAACTTGCAGGATGAGAAGTCCTGAGGCGCAGGGCTGGCCTGGGAATTAGGAGGCCAGATTTCGGGTCTTAAAGGAGGCTACCCTCTCTCAGTTTCCCCCTCTTCAGCATGCCTGTGAGGGGGTGGGTGTAGGTGAGAGAGGGCCGGGGTGATCTCTAACCCTGCTTGGGGACTTGAAACTCTTAGGGGAGCCTTCTGCCTCCTCCCCTCCCTTGGTGGGTGTGGAGACCCCTGCTCATCCCCAGCCCTTCCCACCCAGGCCCACACCAGGGCCTGCCCAGCCTTGCATCCTGTGTGCCTTCCGCCTTCTCCTTTAGTCCTCATGTTGCGGAGCAGCCATCTGGTCCTACTTGCTTTTGAGCAAACTAAAAAGCCTCCCCAAATCTTCTCTGGGAGGGCCTCCCCAGCTGGACCCCAGCCTGTGTGTCTGCGCTTGGCTTCTTCCCCTCTTTCTGAGCCCTTAGGCTCGTCCCTCTTGTGGCCTCCGTCTCCCCATGGGCTGGTCTTGTCTGCCTGGTCCTGTCCCCTTGCTAAACACCAGAGTGACATTTCCATTGCCTCTGCTCTCAGATTCTCTTTGCCAATTTGGGATCTGAGGCTGGGAGGGACCCCTATCTGGCCCAGCCACCTCCCACCGAGTGAAAGATCCCTCTGCTGGGTATGCCCAGTGACAGTGACTTACGAGGTGCCCGTTCAGTGTCCTACAGCTCTTGTTACAATTAGCTAAAATCTATGACTTGCAGATTTCCCCCGCTTGGTTCCACTTCTGCCTCCTGGAACCATGCAGAGTAGATGCATTCTTTTTTATTTTGAAAGAGAGAGAGAGAGAGAGACAGCGTGAGTTGGGGAGGGGCAGAGAATGAGGGAAGGAGAGAATCCCAAGCAGACTCTGCCCTGTCAGCACAGAGCCCTGTGCGGGGCTTGAACCCATGAACCACGAGATCATGACCTGAGCCGAAATCAAGAGTTGGACGCTTAACCAACTAAGCCACTCAGGCGCCCCAGAGTAAATTCATTCTTTTATTCATTCAAATGATCTTTATTGATACACTGGGTAAGACAGTGGGGCTATAGTGGTAAAAAAAAAAAAAAAAATCAGACAAAACTCCCTGCCCTCATGGAGTTAGTATTCTAGAAAGGAGAAGGACAGCAATCAAATAAGAACATACGTGATATATCAGGCTGTGAGCGGTGCTGCGGAGAAAAACAAAGCAGGCATGGGGGATGAGGGCTGGGGTTGGGTATTGCAATTTTATATAGCATAATCAGGGAGGGCCTCCCTGAGGTGGTGACAATTGAGCAAAGCCTTGAAGGAGGTGAAGGGTGAGCTATGTGAATATCTGACGGGAAGGACAGTTCACCTGTAGAGGGAAGAGCACAGAGCATGTGCAAAGGCCCTCAGGTAGAGGCATGCCTGGTGGGAGCAGGTCCAGCTTGTTCTGGAAACAAGGAAGAAGTCTGTGTGGCTGGAGCAGGGTGGGTGAGGTGCCCGTGGGGGATTAGTAGGACATGAGTACAGAGAGGTAAGGGGTGAGGAGGTGGGTGTCTGTTGCATGGGGCCTTGAAGGCCACTGTGAGGACTTTCGTTTTTACTCTGAGTGCATTGGGATCCACTGGAGGACTTTGAAGGCAGGAGTCACCTGCTCTGACTCAGGAGTTAGCAGACTAAGTCAGACTGTAGAGAAGTGAGGGCAGAAAGCGTGGAGTGGGGGGACTGTTGTCATTCTGGGAAGAGGCCCTGGGGGCTTGTACCCATGATATAGAGGCCGTGGGAAAATACCAGATTTTCCAATTTGAGGTATAGTTTGAAGGTAGAGTCAGGGAGATCGGGATGGGAGAGAAAGGTAGAGTCCAGGATGGGTCGGAGGTTTTTGGCTGGTGAGTCTGGAAATTTGGCCCTGCTGTCACCCGAGATGGGGGCTGTCTAGGGGATCTGGAGTGTTACGCTTTTTAAGTGTGAGATGCCCATTAGGCAGTCAGATAAGTTTAGTGTGGAGGTTGGAGCCAGAAGGAAAGTTGGGGGCTGGCATTTCAAGCCAGAAGAGCAGGTGAGCTCATTTAGGGAGGGAGACACAACTCTGGGGCTCCCAGCATCAGGAACTAGCCAAGGAGACAGAAGGAGCAGCCGGTAGGATGGGAGGAGAAGTCAGAGTTGGGGGAGTGTTTCAAGGAGAGAGAGAGAGAGAGAGAGAGAGAGAGAGAGAGAGAGAATTCTGATAGATGCCTTTGCAGAGCCAGCCAGTCCAGAGCTGAGAGCCCAGCAATGTGCACGACACTGGTGGCCATCTGGGGGGCCCAGGAGGACGTGCCCAGAGGGCATGGGAGGGGAGGACTGGAGGAGAGCAGTACGGGCAAGAGACAAGGGCTCCTGCTTTGAAGGGAGTCACAGAATTGGGGTGGGAGCCGGCAGAGGAAGAGAGGGCTCTTATTCTCCTGATGGAGAGACTGCAGTCTGTGTGCAGGAGGGAAATGGTCTCCCAGAGAGAAGCTCGGGGAAGGGGGCAGAATACAAGAGGGTTGCAGGAGGGGCAGGGCTGGGTCCAAGGCCCCAGGGAAGGCCTGGGCCCTGCTGAGATAGAGGAGCCAAGGTTCCCTGGGCCTCCCTCCTCTGGCCTGCACGGGCCCAGGGGGCTGAAATTTCAACCCTTAAGCGAATCAGCGGGCTCAGAGGTCTGGAGAAAGTCGTCTGGCTGAGGTCTCAGGAAGGAAGGAGGTGTCAGGTCCTGGGCCTGGGCCCCGGGCCGGAGGGTCAGGGGAGGCCCACGTGGGTTGCCCCTTTTAGTTGACTGTTTCATGCCTCTTTCTTTTCATGGGCCTCACCTTCCTCAAGGGAAGACTGTGAAGGACTCCAAACTTGCAGTAACTCGAGTAGAGAAGAAAAGACAGTAGAGATAGATTTAGTTCGTCTGGGGGAAGTCTGAACAGGTGATAAGGAGGCAAGAAGCGGGATTTTCGGGACGGTTTTTATGAAATAAGGGTTGACTGGCCATCTGTTTTCTCTTGCTCCCAATTTAAGCTAAAGCAGGAGAAACTTAAGTTGGACATGATGAAGAAATTCCTGAGCTGGCAGCAAGGCCAGGTTTTCCCCCCGGATGTTTACAAGGATGTTAGGAGAACAATGGCTGCTCAGAGGCAGGGGTCTGACCAAATTGGTCCTTGGGGATTCCACCTGCTCTGAGGTTTCTGGAAGGAGGCCAGGGAAGAGCTGGGACTTTCCAGCTGCTGGTGGGGGACCAGAGCCCCAACCCTTAGGGCTGGGGCCTGTCTCTCCCTGCAGGTGTCCACAAATCCTTGATATCACCAGTTGGGTGTGTGGGGCTCAAGCATTCTTGGTATGTTTGGGAAGGGCCCCTGCTTGTCCCCTTGTGGGTGAGCACAGTTGTGGGTGTGTCTCAGGTCTGGTGGGGGGGTCTGTCAGTGCAGGTCATGGTGGACGCACAGGGCTTTCCACCAGAGCGGATGAAAATTACCTACTTCTGCACAGTGGCTTGGCCAGCTCTGGCCTCCAGACCATCCTTTCAGGATTTCCCCGGGAGCTGGGGTCTGTGGGGAAATCTAGACCCGCCGGTCCTGTGTCACTCAGCCTTTGCCTTCGTGCCCAAGGCCTGCCCCCAGGGGACTTGGCCATGCCCACCAAGCCTAATGATCTCTGCAGGGGGAGAGGGTGGCCTAGGCTCTCCCGATGCAGAAGACTGGGCTGCTGTTCGTTCCCATGCATCCTCTGGGTAAGAGGATGTCAGCAAGGAATGTCAGGTCTCCTGTTTTTGATTGATTCCTGGCCTCTCACGTACCCGCCAGGCATTGGGTCAGAGGGAGAGCGCCCACCCCATTTCTGGGCTGTTCCCAGAGGGAGGTGGTTCTTTGCCCCAGGTCCTGGACAGGTGTGGCGGCGGGTCTGGCGTTTCCACAGCTGAGAGCCATGCCAGGGCCAAGCCCAGACCTCTTCCTACCTGTCCTGTTCTCTCCTTTCCCCAAGTCCCATCTCTACCCTCCTGACTCCTCTGCTTGGCAGTGGACACAGGGCGGAGGCCTGCTTGTCCAGAGAGATCTATTTCAGTTCCTGACTTACAGCAGCCGCTGCACTGGGGATGCCCTCGCAAGCTGCCAGACCTGCAGGTAACCTTGCTGCCTCAGTTTCCTCATGTGGCCAGCCCAAGGATTTCCATCCTAAGTGTTGGCAGCAGTCTGGGTTGGAGATGTCTCCTGTCCCTTCCTTTGGCTGGCATATGTGGACGTGGAGCTCTTCCAGCCCGCTTCCTCGGTGGAGTTTTGATTCATAAGCATTCCCCCCACCGTCCCCCACGCCTCCCCGGGGCTCAGCCCTGTGCCAAGCTTATGGATGCCAGGATGAGTAAGACCCAGGCTTCTGCTTGGGCCAGAGGGCAGGAGACACATAACGAGGAAAGTTGCAAAATCTCTAGGCACCTTGGCATCTGCTCCCTTGAGTATCTCAGAGTGTCTCTGTTTTGTAAAAACAAGGAGGTGTGGCCCTTCCTTTTCCCTTTCCCTTTCCCTTTCCCTTTCTCTGGGCACTGTACCAGTCCGCGTCCCTGGTCCCTGTGACAGTCGCACAATGGAGCCCGCTGAGAGATTTTCTCTGCTGCTTGGGGACCCTCACAGGGCTTGGAGCTCAGAGAAATCTCTTCCCCTCAGATTCCCAGAACCCAGAGTCTGAAGGCGGAGCCCAGAGCAAGCCACTGACAGAGGCATGACAGCATGTAATGTGTGGTGCGGTGGCGGGAGTGAAAGGGAAGGGAGGGCCTGGGGGCAGTTGGGAAGGAGGCGGTGGTAAGTGGGGTCCGTGCTCTCCTAGGCTTTGAAATGACTTAGTTTGCGCTATGATTTTTGCTTCACCTGGGGCTAAGATTTTTTTTTTTAATGTTTATTTATTTTTTAGAGAGAAAGAGAGACAGAGTGCTAGTGGGGGAGGGGCAGAGAGAGAGGGGGACACAGAATCTGAAGCAGGCTCCAGGCTCCGAGCTGTCAGCACAGAGCCCGACGCGGGGCTTGAACTTATCATAAATGGTGTGAGATAATGACCTGAGCTGAAGTCGGACACTTAAGCGACTGAGCCACCCAGGTGCCCTGAGGTTTTTTTTTTAAGCTTATTTATTTTGAAAGAGACAGACAGACAGAGTAAGCATGCATGCGTGAGCAGGGGAGGGGCAGAGAGAGAGGGAGTCCCGAGCAGGCTCCGCTCTGTCAGCACAGAGCTCGATGCCAGGCTTGAACTCACGAACCCATGAGATCATGACCTGAGCCGAAATCGAGTAGGACATTTAACCGACTGAGCCACCCAGGTGTCCCTGGGTTGGGATCTTGATAGCAGTATTCTGTTCTGTCCCTTGGAATAGCAGTGGGTTACCTACCAGGCATGGGCTCGGGCCCCTGTGTGGAACCCAAATATGGAGGGGATTGAAGGCATGCTTTCTGGAATTGCACTGCTTACGTTCAAACTCCAGTCCCACCTCATCTGTCTGTGAATTCTTGTCTAAGTCACTTGGCCTTCCCGTGCCTCAATTTCTTCATCTGTAAAATGGGGCCGACATAGCATCTACTTCAGAGTGCTGACGAATTCACATGTGAAAGCATTTAGTATGGTGCCAGCATTTTGCCTGTGCTTAGTAGCTATTAGCTGTCATTGGAGAGAGTGCTGCTGTCCGCCTGAATCCAGCCGGCAGGGCATAGCCCCCTCCTAAGATCTCAAAGAGTGTTCATTTCGAGGTCCCTTGAGAACATTGCTCATAATATCAGCACAAGCCTTACTAAACTTCTTAAGGCAGGGAGGAAGTGCAGATGTGGAAACCAGGGGTCTTGATTTAACTCCTGGCTGCTTCGAACTCTCTGTGGGACCTTGGACCAATTTCTTGCCTTCTCTGGGCCCCAGTCTGTACATCTGTATAATGGAGAGTGTGGACTGGGTGATATCCGAGTAGATCTGTGGCCTCTCCGGACTTGGGGTGGGGCCGAATTGCCCCCTCCACTGCCCCCTGCCTGCCTCCAGAGGAGTCCTGTGCTGATCTCACTCTCCTTCCCAGGTTATGAGATGTGCACACAGGAGGCTCTCCAGGCGCAGAGAAGCCAGCTGGTGGGGCTGCTGGCCTCGGGGTCCCTGGAGGGCTTCGAGAGCATCCTGGACTGGCTGCTTTCCTGGGAAGTCCTCTCCTGGGAAGACTACGAGGGCCTCAGCCTCCTGGGCCAGCCCCTCTCCCAGTTGGCCAGGCGCCTCCTGGACACTGTCTGGAAGAAGGGTGCTTGGGGCTGTGAACAGCTCATTGCAGCTGTCCGGGAGGCCCAGACCGGCTGTCAGGCTCCGGAGCTTTCCTGCCGCTGGGATCCCCACTCACCCCACCCAGCGCATGACCTGCAGAGTCACCGGCCCGCCATCGTCAGGAGACTCTACAGCCACGTGGAGGGCGTGCTGGACCTGGCACAGGAGCGGGGTTTCATCAGCCGGTATGAATGTGATGAAATCAGGCTGCCTGTTTTCACGTCATCCCAGCGGGTAAGGCACTTCCGTTTTGGGCGATCAGAATTCATAGGAAAAGGGTGTTTAGTCACCAAGACTAAGTTGCCTTTGTGGAGTCAGCCCTCTGGGGAGAAAGGTGATGGGATGCTCCCTAACAAGGCAGCCAGGCAGGTAAAAGTTGTTCAGGGCCTGCTTTGTGCGACTGTGGGCTTCTCTCTGGGGACTCTCCATCCTTAATCTCCCCTGTCTCCTTTCCTCATCTGTAAAGCATCAGTAAAGCTCTCGGGAGAAGTCACTGAGTTCATCTGCATGATGCTTAGAATGGTTTCTAGCAGATTCACTGCTCGTTTCCATTGGCTGCTTTCAGCTCTGTTCTTAATGCTATTCTGTACTCGTATGCTTTTTGGCTCTCTTGAGTTAACAGCTCAACAGATCATGAAAATTCGTTGGATTGTATCTGTATTTAATAATTTTTACGTTGCACTTAGCACATCATTTAACTTCATAGTTAATTGTTAATTATTAGTAAGAGCCTGCTATGGACTAATGTAGCCTAAATGTCCACGTTGGATTTCTGATACGGACTTGCATTGGCTCGTGGACCTTCAGAGCTGGGGTGCAACTCCCTCCGAGGATGCCATTCCACGAGACCAGAAAAGTGTCTTGGAAACTCTTTAACACTTTTCCCCAGACAGTGACCCTCAGGGCTCTTGTGGTACAGATGGAACAGTAGCTGACATCCCATTTTATATATTGGAAAATTGATGCCCAGAAAAGGGGTTTGGTGGCATGAGAGTGCCATGTTGGACCGAGTACCTTGACTCGTTTGTTCATTGTTAATTTCTTCATTCATTTATTTGGCCAGAATATAGGTAGATGCCTACTATGTGCCAGATTCTTGAATCTTATTGGGCTCGATAAGCAGGCACTCAATAAATACTTGTTGATGAAGCACATGGGTTATTGAATGAATTACAGCTAAATTGCAGCATTAGGATGGGCTGAATTGGGGGACTTTCTAGTTTTTATTTGACTATTAAAAAAAGTGTATTTGGCATTTAGGTAAGTGGTTGAGACTGATAGGATAAGCCAGTCTGTCCTCAAGACTGTTTTAAAGCTAGCTCAAGGTGGCTGAGTATTTACAGAGCAGATGTGATGTGGTCCCCTCTCATTACTCTTTAGTTCACATGAAACCTACAATTGTCCCCTGAGTACTAGCTCCTTGATCCTGGCCCTGTGGGGATTACAGAAGACATGTTAGTTGTTGCACCTACCTTGGTGTCTTTTGTGATCTATTGAGGGGATCAAATCAGCCCACACGGGAAGTTAAAGAATTGTGTCTTGTCATTTTTGATGGCGTGTTCAACAATGTGGTCTGGTCTGGATGCTCTGAGGGGTTTAGAGAAGGTAGCCTCAGGTCTAGAGAAAACAGGGCACTAAGAGAGGAGGTAATTGGATTGATGAAAAAAGAAAATAGGAGAACTCATGGGCCAAAGAAGAAATCGTAATGGAAATCAGAAAATGTTCAGAACTAAACAATAATGAGAACCTGGTTTATAAAAATTTATGGGGGACAGTGAAAGCAGAACATAGAAGGAAATTTGTAACCTTAAATACTGATATTAGGAAAGAAGAAAGGCTGCATTTTAACAAGCCAAGAATCCATCTGAAGAAAGGGCTCTGTGGGCAGCAGAAGCAGGGAGGGCTGGGACTGAGCTGAGTAGCTGACAAGAGATCTGCGGGTGGTAGGAGTTTACAAAGGGACTGGGCTGCCTGAGGTTGAAGTTTTTAGAATCCAGTTCTCTCTGAGCCTGTTTTGAGCTCTGGAATGCTATTGTTCTCGAACTTGGTGGCTTTCCTTCAGTGGCTGCATTTCTGACAAGTGTGGGTGGCTCTTGTGGTGTGTCCCACTAACCTTATCTCCCCAATCCAGGACTGCCTTGTATACTCTCATATGCTGACCTTATAATTTCCTGTAAAGAGGTGGTTGTCATAGATTGCAGGTTGGGGGCTGAAAAATGCTATGGAACGAATCAAAATGTAAGGTAAAGAACCATATCCTTAAATACCCAATGCTACTATTCACTGAGTGCCTACCATGTGCCGGGCACTGTCCTTAGCCCCTATATTTATTGTCTCTAAGCCACACTGCTACCTTCCAAGGGTGTAGTGTTGGCTATACTGTTTCTTAACAGTGAACACTACTACCCAAACTACCCATTTGAGAAGTGGCCCAGCTAGAGTTCAAATCCAGGCCTGACTGTCTCCAGAGCTTATGATCTTTACTCTCTGACATGAAATATGGGGCTTTGTGGGGTGAACTCGCACAGGTGAGCATAACAGTTGTTAGCAAACCTGAGGCTGTAATACCAGCTGTCCATCTGACTCGTGCACCTGCTAAGGTGGCTAGGGCCAGGGTGTCAGACTGAATCACTTGACTCTTTTACAGTATTAATTCCAACACCTTTAACTTGGGAAATGTAGCATGCCAGCAGAGAAACGTATAATGCCCTATATGGTGGTATAAACATGTTCCCATTCACCCATGCGAAGGCACAGAACGTTACTAGTACTTCCCTCAATCGCAACCGCCAGCCTGACTTCTGTGTTAAATCAATTCTTTGCTTTTCTTTATAGTTTTAACACCTTATGCAAGGATTCTCCAACCGATGTGTTTCGTTTTGAAAAACACGTAGCAAGCACAAGCATAGCGGTGTCTGGAAAGGGTAGTGCTGCCTCGCTTTCTTGGATGCAGGCTCCCAGGAGCAGGGATGCCGAACAGGGTCTCAGGGACATGGTCTGGCTTCACCTTCTCAAGTTTGTATGGGCTCCTGCTGAGAAGTCAGTGGGCAAGGTCATGAGTGAGTCCTGAGAAATACAGATTCACTACAGCTGGAGGATCTGGTAGGGCGGATATGAGTCAGGGGCCGGATGTCCAGCTGGAATATGGTCAGAGGAAGTGGGCTCTCTGTGTGTTCAGTTGTAAGCTTGTCAAAGGCTCTTCCAGCTCCCAGGAATAGGGCCAGGCCAAACACTTCTGTGGGGTGAAATGGGTGTCCTCAGCTGACCCAGGCAACAGGGGGCGAGAGAAAGAATGATATTAGCCTGTGGCGCAGACACACCAAATATAGATAAGGATTAGAGCCAGGCCTGCCTGGACATTTAGGATATAATTACCCTCAACACGTCTGAGTTTTAAGTCACACTGCTCCAATCTTCCTCGACTAGTGGTCTTCTGCTTACGGTGCAGAGCTGTCATCCCAAGATCTCCCTTTATGGTCCTCTTGTGTGGGTTTTCCTAAATCCTGATTACTATGTCTTCCTTTTCATGGTTTGTTCTATTCTGGGAGATCAGGTCTCACCTCTGCTTTAAAATGAGTATATAGGAGTTAAATTTTAAGCTCTTCTATATCGCTGACTTTCCTCATATTTGGTCAGTAATTTGGCTGGGTATAGAATTCTGGGTTGGTCATCATTTTTCTTCAGAATTTGGACATGATTACTCCCTTATCTGCTGTCTTCCAGAGAAGAATTGCTAGAATTCCAATTCCAAAACTATTTTATAACTCGTTCTGGAAGCACGTAAAATTTTCTTTTGGCCCTTAACATTCTGAAATTTCACAATGATGGGCCTTAGTGTTTTTCCATTGTGCTGGGCACTCAAGGGGCACTTTGAACCGAAAACTCTTATCTTTATTGTCTGGAAAATTTTCTTGGTTACTTCATTGGTGCTTTCTTTCTGTTTTCTCTCTTCTCTCTTTATGGAACTACTATTTGAATTTTAGGACTCCTGGACTGATCCCCTAATTTTCTTCTCCTTCTTTTCTGTTTTCCATCTCTGTGTCCTTTTGTACTACTTCCCCTATGATATCTTCAACTTATCTTTAAAACCTTGCATTTTTCATTTTTGCTATCACTTTTAATTTCCAAGAGCTATTTAAAAATGTTTCTTATTATAGCATCCTGTTTTTGTTTTATGGATGCAATTTCTTGTCTTACTTAAGGATCATAATGATACGGTGTGGTTTTTTTGGTGTTGTTGTTATTGTCATTGTTTGTTTGTTTTGTGGGGGGGGGGCAGATTTTATTTTTTCACCCTGCATAACCTTTTTATCCTACAAGTTGCTTTTCCCTTCTCCACTTATTTGGGCTCAGTCTCCCATATTAGATGCTTTCTTTGGGCATATGATGATCCTTAGTTGTCTTCTCATGACTGAAATAGACTCTCTAAAACTTACTGGAAACTCAGAGCCTGCAGGTGATACTTGTCTACCTTGAGTTTCACTGTAGACATTTTGGGAAGTGGTTCTATTTGTATCTTGAGACCTTTCCCCCTAGGTTGGTCAAGTTACCAGTGTAGACGTCACAGACCTCCTGCCTGGAAGTTAAGGTCTGACCACCAGAGTTGTGGGAACCCAGTGAGTAAGAGGGCTGAGGGCTGGGTGGTTATAGTGTTGGGGAGAGGTATCAACATTCAATACTCATTTTGTACATGGTCATTTAAACCTTCTTTTAGGGTATGACACCCACTTCCATTATTGTACCTGGTGCCTCCCAGTCCAAGGACCCTGTTTGAGCCTTTCCAGAATGTAAATCTCCTCACTTTGCCATGGCAGGGCAGGGACGGTTGCTGTTGACTTGGAGTGGGTAAAGGAAATTGGAGATCTGTTTTATAAACCACTTTGACTTAGCCCTCCTTAATTTGACCATTTCCTTTGGTTCTCAAGGTAACTGATGCTTTTTTTTTTATGAAAAAGGTGCAAGTTGATCATTATTTCTTTTATTTTTATTTTGACAGAGAGATAGCAAGCAGGGAAGGGGCAGAGAGAGAGAGGGGAGAAAAAATCAACACCAGGCTCACCATACCCAGTGCAGAAGCCCTATGGGGCTGGAACTCACAAACTAGAATCCACAGAGCCTGATCCAAATCAAGTCAGATGCTTAACCGACTGAGCCGCAGGTGTCCCCTGGCACTGATGCTTTTAATTCCAGGGTGCTTTATAGATTCTGAGATGTACATTGTGTGCTTTCAACCTGCCCGTTGTTGGATGAGGATTTGGCCTTCAGGCTCTTCTAGAATCTATTACTATTTATTCATTTATGAAGTCCTTAAGCGTGCTCTGTACCAGCACTTATTCTAGTATTGAATACATTAGGTGAACAAAACAGGCAAAACCCTTGTCTGGAATACTCATTCCAGTGCAGGGGGCAGGCAATAAGGAGAAATGGCAGAACATCCTGGGGTGATATGGGCTGCTGTGGAAGGAGGAGGTAGAATGTCCGAGGGGTTCAGAGTTGCAGAGTGCACCTTTACCTGTAGGTGTGGGGGTAGGTGTGGGTGGGGTTTTGTTTTTTGGGTATGTGTTGAAGCCGGGGTGTTTATGTAAGTGGGGGGGAGCAGCAGGTAGGTAGTTTGAGGTGTGCTTGAGAAGGTTCGGGAGCAGTTCGGGTTGGCGATGAAAATGTGGCAGGAGGTGGTACTCAGAGATGGGATTTCCAAGCCTCAGGGGCTCCAC